TGACTAAGGTATCAAATTTGAAATCTTAGTTATATTAGAAAAATTCAATAAAATTGATTGATTAGTAAGTTCCATAAACATAGTTTGGTTCTGATCTACAAACTTTTTAAAAATCTGGGAATACTTCATTCTGATTGGTTATTACCACAAATACTACTTGTGAAGGTATCCTCAATAACTACAAGCGATATCAAAGTAGTTTAGAAATTCATGAGAAATAGAGCTCAATTCTGATTGGTTGACATTAAATTGTTGAAAATTCCATGACTATCGAAGCTCGATTCTGATTGGTTGATATCAGAAATGATTAAAAGTTTCCAATTTATTAATGCTCGAACTGATTGGTTGACACTTTTGAAAACTCTGGTTAGATTGGATGATTTTTATTTCGGCTAGGCTAGTTAGCATATCCATTCTGATTTTATTTCTTGTTGAAAACAATTTGTTAATAAGTTTGCTGCTTATATTCACTTTTATTCATTTTTTGAGGCTATTCAACTCTTCTTATCTGCTTTATTTTAAATCTCCCATTTAATCTCCTTTTACATATTGAGATGCCATCACTGAATAGAAACGAAAGAGTTGCATGTCTTGAATGTGGCAGAGAATACAATCGCTTACACGCATCAAGACATCGTAGAACCCGTGGTGTTTTGAAAAGTTCTAACTGTAACTTTTATACGTATAGCAGCGAGGACCTCGCTAATCATTTCAAGAAGAAGCATTGTCATCATAATGCTCAGCAGTCTCCAAACACACTTCAGGAGAAGGTAAAATTAACAATTTTTGTTAAAAACAGAGAAATTACTATGAATATTAGTTTTTACTGTATCTGAAATGTCTAAACAATTGCCATAAATTTAGTCAGAAACTAGACGGCGTTTCCATCACAAAATCTGAACTGTCATTTGTTTTTTTATTCAAAGGTTTTGATTGATGATAAAGACAGCAAAAATCGAGTTCAAATTGTCGTGAAACTTTCCATTAAACTCGACCCAAAAACTTTCAATCAACAGTAAAAACTCCCTTGGTTGCAAGCTTGCCGAGACTTTGTTGCAATAAATTTGTAGTAAAAGTGCATAACATACGCAAATGAGTAGTTAAGTAATTGCTCAAAAATTGTAATATTTGGATATTTGTAAAACATCGACTAAATGAAAGGTTTTTTGTAATGACTGTTTTAAAGTTTTCCTTGTTTAATGCTTGTAAAAGTGTTCAAAGACTAAAACGTTTTTAAGCAGATAATGTAGTTTGACCTACTAAGAATTATGCTTATCTTTTTTTAATGATGATTTCAGAGAAGAAGTTGATGAATGACCTGGAGAAAATGTATGTTTTTGCTAAACTTTGAAAAATTCAAGATAAAGATATTCATCATTCTCAACTAAAAACTGACTCCAAAATAGAAATGCAGATGTTAGACTTGAATATACGGTTATGAGGTTGAAAAAATTGCTTAGAGACTTTTAGCAAAGGATTTATGGTACTAATTCTGCTTCGGATTGTTGAATGTTCGTTGAAACGATACAATTTTCCATCTAAAACTCAATTTTCAAGTAAAAATTTGTGCAAATTGGATTCACTTGGTAGATAGTAGATGAAGCAAAAAAAATTGAGAAAATGCTAAAATGAGATAGAAACTCAATTTAATTCATTAGAAGTTTCGAGATAATTTTACTAAAATTTAGCTTATAAAGTATGTCTTGAGAAAAAATCCGACATAAAAATTTTCAAAGTTTTATATTTATGCGCAATTCATTAGAAAAGTTTGTTATCATTTATTATATTACGTACTTTATATGAAAAATCAGATGTTTGGAGGATAATTTTGTAAAGTAAACCCAATCCGATATCTTTTGGAAGATGATACATGAAGCATAAATCAAAAACTTGCTTTCAAGATCTACACTTCATTATTTTTACTATAGAGTTTTTGCTTATTAAAAATTGGAAAATTACACAATTGTTCCAGTTTGCACCTTGATTTGCTTTGCTAAATCAATTTTTTCAGACGCGCTCTTTTAGAAATTTTTATATTTTAGATGATAGGAACTAGGTTCTCTTGTGTATTTCGGGAGGTTTTCAGATTATAACTAATAGAGCTGCTCTTAATTTGATCTTAAAATGTAAAAATACACCTTCATTTTCTCATTTTTTTAAATATTTTTTTGAATGCTTTAACTAGCACCAATTATTTCTCACTTGGATATTCTTGAGGAAACTTCCGTCATAAATTATGAATAAAACTTTAATATCTACTACAGTTGTATTTTTGCTTAAATACTTTACGGAAGCAACTGAACAAGGGAACTTTGGGGAAGACATTTACAGTTTTTGTCTTAATAATCAGACGTTATCAGTTCTACTTTCATCTCTGCCAGCAAATTGTTCGTTCAATTGATACTATTTTCCTCCTAAATTCTCCAGTTCTGACTAATTTTTCTTGTAAAGTGTGTTCACTAGCGAAAACTTGTCTTAATCAGAAAGCAAGAATAACCTTAAATTTAGAAAAATTCCACGGAAAATTATAAAAATTATGTTGCAGAAGCAACAGAGAGATAATCAAGAGTTTTGAAGAAGATTTTGTTGAAATTGAGCCAATATCGAATAAACGTTTAAGAAAAATGTATCCCATTTTTAGTCAATTTTAGCAGTTAACTAGTCGTTTTTCATCAATGATCTGAAATTTGTATTTATTAGCATGAAAAATTTCTCACAAATTGTAATTGTTGTACAAATTTGGGTAATTCAATGAGAAAAAAATGAGGAGGAGTTGAATCAAGGAGTTTGATCTAGAAATTTCATGGAATTTTGCTCTTAATGTTAATTTTAATTGAGATTCCTATTAAAATTCTCCCTGAACTGGACAAAAAAAAAACAGTTATTTACTAAAATAAAAGGTTCAAAATCGAAAATTTTGGGTACCTTTAATTAATTTTTACTTTACCTTCTCGAAAATTACGATTAATTTCACTGTTTTCCGAAAGTTTCAATATTGATTCTGCTATTATGAGCTTTCTTTTTAGTGTTTAGAGCTTTATATAACCCGTTTTTTAGCTCAAATTATGGTAAACTTTATTTTATTTCAATATTTTGAGAAATAATTGAGTAAAAGTTCATTTTTTTATTCAAACGTTTGTATAATTATTTCAACATGATGCCAATTAAAATACAGTCTGAGCTCAATTTTAAAATCTATACGTAAAAGTACGTTCAAAATTAGATCAGAAGCATCAAAACTTTAGCCAAAATTATGAGATTGCTGCAATTTTTTTTCAAAACTTGAAAGTTTTGCAGTTTTTCCAATTACTTGAAATTTTTGCAATTTTTTCCAAATACTTGAAATTTTTGAAAATTTTTCTCAAAATTTTGACTTTTTTCCAAGTTTCAGTAGGTTTCAGCATAGATTCAGGTAGATAGAAAATAAGTTTATCCAATAAAATAGATCGAATTACACCAAATTTTATCGTGTTTTAAAGGTTTTTTTTTGAAAATTTTTGTGACAAAAACTCCCAGTTTTTGCATAAAAACTCTTACCATTGACTTATCATGTACCAAAAAACTAAGCGCATAACCTTAATTCCACAACCCACACGTAATTAACCAGTGATCATTTCTAATTAGATAACGCGCGCCAAAATTTTTGCGAAAAAATTAGACATTTCCACACAAAATCATAAACTCTATACCCTATCTTAATACATAGCTGGGTGACCCGTTGATCTATTCCCTATAATAATTCATGGGGGTCACCCTCCCCCCCCCCGACTTAACCTCCAACATCTACTACTAATAACAGAGAGTAACATGCCAAATATAAAATAAGATAAAATGATCGAGACAAAAAACTATAATTCAAGAACTTTTGTTATTAAAAGAGTGCAACATGCCAAATGTAAAGTAAAATGATGGAGAAAAAAAAATTCAGGAATTTTTCATTAAATTAGAGTAACATGCCAAATATAAAATCAAATGAATACTAATCATAGAAAACTTAGTCATCCTAAAAACTATACTTTTTAGATTATACTTTTATCATGAAATTGAGGCAAAATGACAGATATGATATAAAATGATCCACACAAGAACATAGTTTCATGGTAATTATAGACCCTTCCAGCAACTAGGGCAAAATGTGGCAAGCAATTTAGTAATCCAAAAAAGTCGACTGTCGGTATATTCAAAATCATCAAAACGTTTTTAGATGTCATCGAAATTTTTCAAAATGCCTAGTCAATTTTTTATGGATTTTTTTTTCAAAATATTCAAGAAGAAAATTAACGGCAAGGTTCAAAATTGAAGGATATTAAAACATTTCGATTCAAATTAAGTGTGAATATTCGTTACTAGATACCATAGAGAAGTACATAATCTCGAGAAACCTGTTTTGATATCAAAACAATATCTTAAAAACACACAAGCATTGGGTCCAGGCGTGTTTCGAAACAGCAATAATGATCATATCTTTTTAAGAAACAATCAAAATGATCACTTCTATAAAAGAGGTTCGATTTCATTCCGATTTGCTCATTTTTAATAAACAAAGCCACAAATATAGACAAGACTGCTCGTATCAGGGCGAAGCCCTGAATGTTCCGGCTGGCTTTTAAGTTTTTTGGAGCAGTAATAACGTTAAAAAATTAAATGAAACAAAACAAAATGAAAAAAAAAATTCTGAAATTTGAAATTTTTTAATGAAAATCATCCCCCACACGCCATATAAAGTACAAAAGGATAGAATTCGCTGCTTGTAACAAATTAATTATGGCAAATAAGCTTCTTTCAAACAATTTGGAACGATTTCTAAGACGGATTAACTCTCCGCTTACGCATTAATAGCGCGAAATTTATCGCGCGTCAATTGGCCCAAATCGGCCAAAATGGTAGTCTTTAAACCCCCGTAACTTTATGAAAAATGATCACAGGTGAAACATCTTTTCAAATTTGAGCTCAGAAGAACAATACCTCTCGAATGATATAAAAAAGTTCCATCGAAATTGGCTAGCTAAAAAGTTGAAATTTGTCTGAAGAAAAAAAAACCCACCCCGAGCACAAATATTCCGTTACTTTCGTATCGAAAGTCGGAACAATAACTGGGTTTATATATTTCTCCCAAGCTGGATTTTTTTTATAAATTTATAAATCTGATCCTGGCGTCTGGAAAGATTTCTCGCCAGAAGTTTTCAGCAATTTGTTTAGTAATCGGGCAGAATTTGTCATAGGCCAGGTGAATTCGACATAGCACTCGTGTCCTTGATATTGTATTGAAAAGCATGCTTATAAGGGGCTCATAGTTAGTCGGAGTGCTAACAGAATCTATAGTTATAAGCTTATTCATGCATGATTCTAGCCTGTGGAGATGAGTGAGCCGAACATCGGAGGTACTTTCATCAGATACACTTCCCAGCTTTTCAATTGTTTGTTGCAAGGACTTACTAACAAAATCGAGGCTTAATTGGTATGTTTCTTTTTTCAACTCAACTTCCTTGGATAAGGATCGCTCCGAAGATATTGGCGGTATGCCCAACGTTTTGACAACAGCTAGCTTCGATATTGATTCATCTAATAATTGGAGAAGCTCGTTTAGTTTCAGTTTTGCTCTCATCTCATCTGTTATAGATAGCCTTGATAAACCAAATTTTGACTTCTTAAGTTCTGATAGCATCCAGGAAATTGTTGGTTCCGATAAAATTGAGTTATAATGCAAAAAGTTTTTTGAGCAAACAATTTGACATTCCGTAAACTCAGTAGAAGCTATATCACCTAAATAATTGCCGTTTGAAAACAAAACTGATGGGTACTGCTGTGAATAAAACTGGATTTCTTCATCGCTGAAATCGTTGAATAAAATGCATGCCTCAATTGCATTTTTTTCACTCGTTTTTCCGCCCGAAGTAACAATTTCAGAGAAAACCCGAGGAACTACTTTTCTTTTCGTAAATTGTTTTAGTCGGTTGCCAGCGTCATAAATGTTAACGAGTACTTGAGGTCCGTGAATGAAGTGTCCGTAAGAAGGAATGTGAAAAAACGTCCTATGAAGTAAATTATCAGAGTAGGGGAAACGTTTTTGGAGCTTACTCAATCTTTTGTGCTCACTCAGTGTCATTAGCTGTGTTACAATATTGTGAGTGTTGCGGTATGTTTTTTCTAGCTTGATAAATTGAAACTCTTTCAAAAAATCGTTGGCTTGATGCTTACTGAAATTTTGTTGTAGAAAATCGGCCTGAGTTAAGTCAAATCCAACGCCATTTATTTTAGGAGCAGCTGTGATAAAATCTAATGACATCACTCCACTCTGAAAATCGTCAAGAAATAGATAGTGAAAACTATCAAAACTACGTGCCCTATCGAAAGCTGATTTCCCGTGGAAGATTTGCACTTGTGGAGTTAAATCGCATATCGCTGCTGACTCATCTGGCCGAGATGAATCTGACTCATCGCCTATCCAAAATTTGATTGAAGCAGATTTGAAAATATCTTCGTAATTGACTAATTTCTTACTGTGCTGGACATAAAATGCGATCTTGGACTCAGGTTTAGTGAGGGCTAGTCGGATAATCCTTGCTAGCAAAATCAAAGTTTTGCCAGAACCACTTGGACCACTTATGATCAAATGATCCGCTGTGCTCTCATACGCGTCCTTTTGCTCTGTAGTAATATACTTAAGGCCCAAACAGTCCTGGAATATGTTAATTCCTTCAACAAGGGGTAGCTCGCTAGTTTTCCAAACGTTTGGGTTGTTGGGTCGCTTTTCGGATCTAAAAGTGATCTCGCTGTCTCGCAGCTTTCGGTCAATTTCACGTACACACTCAGCCAGACTTACTTTGCTTTCATCTATACGTGTGCCTGTTTTTTCGTTGGCTAAAAGCCGAAGTAACACGCATTGTATTTTATCAATATCACCGCAAACTTTCTCCCTAGAGGAACTTGTTTTAATTTCACCGTTCCAAAATGAACTGAAATTTTTCAAGTGATCTTCGTATATCACAGAGAAATTTTCATTGACCGACTTTTCAATGGCAGAAGAGAGGTCTTCTTGACCAAAATTGGGAAACGCTACTATGTTGAACAATTTGATTGAAGATTGCGCTGCAGGATTGGTTTTTTCAGCAATTGCACGAACAAGTGTTTCAGCTCTTTGAAACTGCTCGTGAGCTTTCTTAACTGACTCATTTATGTTTCTTTGTTGTTTTATAGGATTTTTCACTTCAATAATAACAATGTAATCTGGTCCCATCACTACAAAATCATGCTCTCCTTCTGTTTTATTTGGTTTTTCACAGAGCATTTTTTTGGCTGATGAACAAGTTTCTGTGTTATGCTTTGAATCCCATATTCTGAATCGGAAATGAGTGTATGTTAGTCCATGCAACACTATGATTGGCTCGTCTAGCTTTTCAAGGGCTCGGTATACTTTCACTTCAGCTTCATAGTTTTGCTGTAGTTTCTCATCTTCGGCAATATTTGGATTGTCATTCACATCGCGGGCTTCAAAAATCCATCTTAACACTGTCTCTTTTCACATTTATCTTTTCATTTCTTTATTTTAATTTTTTTTTGTTATCAATAATATTTTCTTTAAATTTTCTCAATGATTTGAGTCAGAGCAAAGAGTCAATGATTTGTTTTTATAATCTAAAGGGATAAAATATTTACAAAAAAAGTACAATCCTTATTTCAGATTCTCAAAAAACATTTGTGTCTTAAGTAATTTAAGACTTATGTAAATTATAGTGCTAAGAAGAGCCTTCGTAAGCGTCAATTCTCTGTTGTGAAGGTGCAGGCGGAAACATCAACGGCCTGTCCTCTCCTTCGCAATACTTTTTGAACAGTTCTTGACCTTCAGATAGTAAATCCGAACAGACCAAGCTGAAATCAAAGACAACTTGGAACTAAATTTTTCAAGGATTGTAGTAACATTGTATATAATTTTGGCAAAAAAAGTATTTGTTCAAAAAAATCCGATTATAGAAAGGAATAAGAAATTTTGATTTCTACAATTGCGGTTTTTCCGATTCGCAGAATATCTTTATTTAAGACCAACTATCCACGAGGAAAAGGACCAGCATACGAGCTGTGCAGCTCATCACGGCGAGCCGCTCATGTGCCCCGGCTTAAGAACTACATGCATTTTTTTTGCAAACGCTATCTTTGAAACGCTATCCAGTTATGTATTCGGATAGTCCAATGGCACTATTTCCGCACACTACGGCCTTAGTTATATAGTTGAGCGAAGATGATTTTTTTTAAGGTTAGAACTTTGACGTGGTACCACATTTGCAGCAGTTGAATTCAACCAAGCTGTGGTAGATTTAAAGCTAGATGTTTGTCATGGCAGTGGCTCGATAACACGATCTGATGCGAATTGTTTTTCCATCAGCAAATAACGAAATATTTTTTATCCATCCTAAAGCTTAATTCGTGTAACTTGAGTTGCAAATTAAAAATGAATTGAGGAAAATTGAAACCACTAACAATTAACCATAGCAACTTTTTGTTAAAATTACAGGTGAGGGGTTAGAAACAGAAACATTTTTTTGAAGATTTTTTGATTTAAAAGTTTTTTCAGACTTGTTAACGAACAGACGGAAAAATTGAAAAAAGTTTCTGATCGGAAACTGTTCTGCTTTCCTTGGGTGGCCAATTTCTACATAGCTCTATGGAAAAAAGATGTTTGAATCATTTAAATTCCTGTAGGCAAATTAAATTGTTTTTATTGAGATATGGAATAAATTGTTTTAGGTTATGAAAGTTCAACTTATTTTGAACATGAATCATTTACAAGCTATATTCAAAGTTAAAAACTCGATACAGAAATTTTGAGTAATTCTTTGAGAGCAAAAAATTTAGTGAAATGAGTAAAGTAGTAAAAAAAAGAATAAGTACAATCTGCGTAGACTCCAATATGTTTCTTTTTTAATTTGCAAAGTTCTATTATTACTCAAACCTAACAAACCATTTTGGCACCAACTGTTTCGAAATAGCCAAATATAATTTAAAGTTATTCGATATTCAGTTCAGGTTTCTTACAAATTTCTGAGCATTCTGAAGGCTATTTTTTCACGTGTTTTCGACTTTGTTTCATTTCCAAAACTTTTTTGCAAGCATGTTCAAATTTCATAAAACAACGCTCCAAATAGCTTGAACAAAAAATATCGAACAGAGTGAACACTTCTTGTTTTTCCATAATATCAATCAGTATGTCCGAAAGTCACTTAAACATTGAGTTGCTCAATTGGTTTTTTTGAGTTTTTAAAATTTCAAAACTACGACTTGTATCTACATCCAAAAAAAATTTTCGTTTTTCATTTTATTAGTTAAAACTGTGTAAGAGTTTTTCTGAAAGACATCTTTAAAAATTAAAAATCATACCGAAATATCGGGAAGCTTTTGTCACTTTTCTGTCAGTTCCAGTTAAGTGAAATAAAGGTATTTAGATAAATTTTTTATTTCAAAATTGGGCGGATAAACGAAAAAATTGTGCAACTTTTTTCCGGATGAGTCATTCGGCCCAGAACTTGCGTACGAACATTTTAGAGAAAGAGTTCCAATCAATCTAAACGTGCCTGTACAAAACAGTCCAATACAAAACAGTCCAATACAAATCATTCAAAACGGAATTGTGTGAAAACGAACGAAAAAAGAGTCCGATACAAATCAGTCCGAAAAACAGCCCCAAGTAATAATTGTTTTAACAAGCTGGCAGGCCGAGAGTTGTCCTTTGTTGAACAAACATTTTGCCGGCGACCTTAAACCACACTGTTTTGTATTGGACTGTTTTTTCCTCCATTACGTGATTTTTCGAACTATTTTGTATTGGACTTTTGATAGGTAATTTTTTTGATAAATAACATTCATTAAATGTTCTCTGGGCGTTTGGAGGTAACTGGACCCTCCTTTACCTCCTTTGCTTTTAGCTTACTCAGCCAAAACTCATAAAAAGCATTGATTCGATTTAGCTGTTGAAATAGTTTTCTTTAATCAGGTAGAAGTTTTTTTCTTCAAAAATAAGTTGACTTTTTCGATTTTTACTTGATAGTTTTTTTTTACTATGATTGGAGAGTGTCAAATGTTTTTCATCACAAAACATAAAACCTCGTCTTTTTTAACAACTGCTTGTGATTGATTGAGTCGAAAGGTTTCTCTTATCACCGAAGCAAGATAACACTTAGCGTATTGTTTAATTGCTCCACGCGTATCAATTCTGTAATTTCTAAAGATGATTTCCCTTTGTTAAAATCTAATTTATACTGGGTTGTTCATTTAATTTATTTTCTTCAAAGCAGGAGAATATCCATTTGCAAGTTTTTTTTTCTGGAAAATTTGAGTAGTTGGTTTATAATACTCTTGATCTGCTTTGCGACTGAATTAATTAATGTTTTTTTAGCATTTTGTTAAATGTTTGACTGAAATAGATAATATTTTATGATTGGCAAGCATAATCTAAAAATTGTGTTCGAAATTTAATTTTGACAAAAAAGCTTTGTTCTAAGACTCCTCGTTTGTTTTTTTTTCATTAGTATTCTCAATCAAAAAAGATGCTGAATGCAAAACCTGGTCTTTTTTGAAATTAATGTTTTCTCATCTTAAAAGTTTCAGCAAGTTGTTTTGATGAGAACTCATTTATTGTCGCCGATTGATTATTCAAAAAAAATATATTGCTCTAACTCGATAAAGCGACTTGCAATAGTCAGTAATAGTTTCACTTTAAGCTGTTATTATTCCGTCTTTCGAACAAAAGTAACGGAATATAGACGCTCGGGGTGAGTTTTTGGTTTCTTCAGACAAATTTCAATTTTTTAACTAGCCATTTTGGACGGATTTTTTTAAATCATTCAAAAGTTATTGTTGTCCTGAGCTTTAATTTGAAAAGATATTTTAAATGTGATCATTTTCGTAAAGTTATGGGATTTTATTTTTTTTTCTGATTTTTAGAAAAATTTTATTCCTGAAATGAATATATCATTGGATTAATATACTTGAGCAAATTAATTAGAAACAAAATAAATTGGTTTCGAATGGTGCAAGGAAAAGTTTTTAGTTGCTTGTTCACAGTTGCCATCCTGTGTTTTTATCTTCAAACATCTCATATTCTTCGAAATATTATGCAAATGGTGTCGAAATTCTAATATCATAGGAGTCAGTTATGCGCTATGAAAGCCCCAGTTAACAGAGTGTGAATTTTTAGAATGCCATTCCAATTGTGTAACCGTCCTCAACGCCGAGGGATCGCCATTTGGATCTTGTGCCTCTGATGCAAATGTTGGTTGCTCTTAGTATAGCGAATGAAATTCTACATCTCACCCAGCACATGACATGACTATATGGGCGGTCCCATTTTGACGCCAGACCATCTGCTAGTCGTTTGAGGAAAAATGTGAACTCCGGTGCCAAAACACCATCTATTGAAGTGATAAGTGTAGTGAAAGACATGTGCTTTTCTTCACAAGCCGGTCCATACTTATTTTTCTTCTCAATCTGCAGTTTTCAGTACATTCATGGGATTGCGGTTTTGGTAAGACGGAGCGTCAGTGTCTGTAACACGGATGTCGAACGACGCAGCCGACTGTCTATCCCAAACCCCACGAGCTGAAAGATCTGCAATTAGTGCCGGGGTTCCATTTTCTATATCTGGTTCTTTTACGACAGGTTCTCTTTTCCCATCTTTCCACAAAATTGAAGCAAGATCGCACACTGCGTCTCTTATTTCGTTGTGTCGTAGTGTTACCAGTCCGCCCTTCTCGCAAGAAAGTGCATGCTGTAAGTCAAAATCTTGTTGACATCCATCGCATCTCGAGAAAGAACGTTTGAGTTGTTTTCTGTACCTGACACATAGAGCGTCTCTGAACTCTGTCGCTGACAAATCAAAATTATCTTTCAACAAGGACAGCGAAGTTAGCCACAAGGAACAGTTGTTGTCGATTATTCTCCGGATCGCTCGTTTCTGATCTGCTGGTAAAACTGCAAGCAATTCATCGAGTTTATCTTTGTCCACAGCATTTTGTTTCTCCTCGTGATTTTTTCTTGCTTCTCTCATCTTTGTTTTGTGTAGAGTTTGTTCGAAATCAACTTGGTGAAGGATCGAACTCACGAGACAGTCGGTTGCTTCACGTGAAGTGGAAAATGCTAGTTCGGCACCTTCTATTTGATTTCGTACACCTAGTCCCCCTCTTTCGACAGGAAGTGAATACAAAACACGATCTGAGTGTGTGACACTAGAAGTTCCTAGTAAGCTTGGCAAAAAGTTTTCCTCCAACATCTTCTCGAGAGGAGCAAACAGCTGCGACGTATCTTTGACTACTCTCTAGACAAAATTCCATTCGCATTGCAGTGATCTTGTTAATCCAACTAAAGCAGCTTGAGGTTCTTTTTCTGCCACTTTGGACAACTCGCTAAGACAATCCAACCATTCTTGGACCTTTTTTGTAGTGAAACGAAATTTGCCTTCATCAGAGCCAATAAATCTGCCCAAAAATCTTCTACCTTCAACTATTCTGATGCCGAACCTGTCAAACAATTGATGAGATTTTTCAACAAAATGTGGGTGAACAACCAAATAACTTTTGCTTGGCTCGGGGTAATAGCCATACTTCGGACCTTTTTCAGTCAAAGATGACAACCAATCAACCAGGTTTTCTAGTGCGCCAAGAGCTCCCGAATCATCTGCATACCATGTTTGTAAATACTTATCTCGGTCTTTGAGTGATTCAATCAATGGCATCAATGAAACCCCATAGAATAACATCGCTAGTGGATCACCCTGTGTAGTGCCTTCACTACTGAAAAGAAGTTCTGTCGTTTCTGCAACGATTAGCGGCGCATACCCTCTATATGTGTTGAATAGAAATCGTGAGCACCTTGGCCAAAGTATTCTAGCATTCCATAGAGCCGTTTCCCTGTTCAATGCATTGAATGCATTTGAGGCATCCATCAATAGAAGACCATGTCCGTCCTCTTTGGTGCTATTAAACAACTCCTCCACTGCGTGTACAGCTCCTTCTATTCCTGCTTTCACACCACAAGCTAGTTGTTGAGATCCACGGGTTTCTTCGAGATCTTTTTCGGTCGCTTCGGCCATACATTTACACATTACTCTTTGCAAACAATCACCTATGCCAGTGGGTCTAACTCCGGGGCACTTGTCCAAAGCAATCAGACAACCTGACATCAATGCTCGTATTTAGTTCTATGGAATAATTTCGTTAGCTATCTTTGTGATCAGCGCTGCCACTTCGTCTCTCAAAGCCGAACTGTGTCCTCCAAATCCAAGAAATGCGTCTTTCCACCGTGCATTGTCCTCGCAAATTTTTCTATATAAGAAGAAGTGATGGTTACTGTTTCTAACTCAGGCAAGCTGTCTACTTGTATTCTTGCTTCTTCTTTTGACTGTTTTGCTACGGGATGCTTTTCTTTCAGAATGTCAATGACTAATTTTCTTGTTTTTGTTGTGGAATCAATAACTTCGTCATTTGGATGGAGCAGAACTCCGCCAGATCTGCTTGTCAGCCAACGCATGGCAGACAGAACTTTCCCTTCCATCATCATTCGTGCAAAAACCACTGGGGTGTGCTCGTCTTCAGATCTGTTTTTTTTTTCCTAGGTTTCCTCGGTTGTTTTTGTGAACATCGTTTGGCTTCTTGTAATAGAATATTGAACTTACTATTTTCCCAGTCTTCAAGTCGTCTTCCTATCAAAGCTCTCACATCACGTGTGGTTTTTATCATTGGGTCCCGCTGTAAGATTAATCGGCTGAATACAAGAAGTCGTTCTGAACATACGTTTTGGTTCAATCGGTAGACTTCTTTCGTTAAAAGATCAACGTATTTACGGCCAATGTTTCCTCCCGGGACTTAATACAGTTTGCCTTGGAGGTTCACACTCACAGTTCATCTGTTCCCCCATTCAGTTTCTTGAACTTCCTTAGATATGTCGAGAGACCCTCCAAAGGCGTTGAACAAACAGTTTGTGACGTTTTCTGTAATGGGTTCGACAGGATAATGGTCTTGCTCACTGAGGGTCATAACACGAAGCTGTTGAGTCGCCCCAGTATGTTGTTCTTCATTTTCTATTTTGTCTACGGTTTCGTTGTATGAATCCTCTTGTTCATCGTCACTAACTCTCTGCGACGCTGAAACGGTGTCCTTCTTTGGATTTTCTTCCGAGTGATCACGAAAACCAAAATAAGACGGCGGTCTTATCGCTCTGTCGCTTCTCCTCATCATTTCGTGTCGGGGTCGGCAAACTACTCAATAGTTGCAATAGTTGCAATAGTTGCAATAATTACAATAGTTGCAATAGTTGCGATAGTTGCTATTGTTGTAATAGTTGCAATAGTTGCAATAGTTGCAATTGTTGCAATTGTTGCAATAGTTGCCATAGTTGCAATAGTTGCAATAGATGTCAATGTTGTTGTGGTTGTTGTTGTTTTTTTCCTTGTCTTTTCTTGTTTAACAAGACACGTGCTAAGACATTTAGGTAACTTATTCAGAAATTTCGTGTTTGTAATTAAATTTCGTGTTTCGTGTTTAAAGATTGCCATTTTGGCCAATTTGGGTGAATTAACGCGCTCTTTTAATATATATATTTCGCTCTTTGAACGCGTAAGCGGAGATTTAATCTGTCTTAGAAGTCAATCCAAATTGGTTGAACGAGGCGTATTTGCCATAATTGATTTGTTAAAAGAAGCGAAATCTATCCCTTTGTACTTTAGATGGCGTATGGCGGGACAATTATAAAATGTGGAAGCAAACTTCAAACGCGGCAATGGCAAATAGCGACCGCTTCAATTTAAAACGCTGGTTATTGTGCGCGTTAATCTTTATTTTGCCGCTAATTTAGACTGTTGTGTTTTTGAAGTTGATAGTTATGTTGACAAATCGTGAGATAATTGACTTAATTGGTAAAGCTTGACCCCAGACTGAGCGTCTTTTTGAGTCTGTCAATCAACCATTCATCGCTTTATTAAGTTGGTCTGCTAAAAGACTCATTTTTCACTTTTTATGCTAAAAGATTGGTCTGCTAAATGATCGGTCCCCCCATGAAAAATTAGCAATAAGGTATGCGTAAATAGAGTCGCTATCGGTTAGCCAGGTTTTACAAGCGCAGTTACAATTGGATTCTCGTTAAGATTCTCTAGTAAAAAACTAAAAATTCAAGATGGCGGAATTGTTAAAACTGTGCCTTCAAGGTTTTTTATAGCCGTATTGCAGCGTCCCATCTTGTTCTTATCAAAACTAAATTTGTCATTGTCATTTTTTTCCATTTTTTTGTTTTATTTGTTTTTCTTCTTTTTTTTGGGAAATTGCTAATTTTTTCATCCATAAAAAATAATGCAAAAATTTTGATGATTCTCTTAAAAAACGTTTGTTTTATTTGTCTGGAGATGTATTGAGACGCTTCAAAAAGAACATCTCTTTACTCTCAGAATTGAGTTTCTGGTTCCTTTGTACTAAAGTAGAGTTGTTTTCAAGGTTTTAGTGATTTGAATAATGATGCGCATCCTTTTCAAAAGCAAGTTTTTTGCAATTATTAAACGCTTGAAACGAACTTACGACAAACGATTCGAGTTTTTTTGCAGAATTTCACATAAAAAATGAGGCTTCTTGTTATTCAACCTTTGATTTCAGCATATTGCGTCAATTCACTATTCGCAGAAGAAGAACGTTCTTTTCTGCTGATGCCACTAATTTAAAACGAATTTCTTAGACTAGGGGTCATAAAATATTGTTGTAGATCGAGTTTCCCCCCACGTTTTATAAATTTTAATATCACCGCTGGTGAATATATTTTTCCAGTACGCAAAAAGTTTTTGAACTACTCGGTAATTTTTCATTTTGCAAAAAATTTCCTCAAAACGATCAAACTTGAACTGACAGTGGTAATTCACTGTTTTGCGGGGTCAAAATTTCTGTAAATATACAATATAACGATGCACATACCTTTCTAGTTGCAAAACTCTTCGCTGCAAATCCTTCAAATTCTTGATAAGATGCTCGAATAATAATTTAATGTTTACATCAGTAATTTTTTCAAGCGTTGGGGAAAAATCCATTACTCAATTATTCAGGTTCTTCGGCCAACGAAAACTTTTTGTTCGCAGAATTAAGAAATGCTACCGGTTTGTTCCACAATTGAGGTCGAATGTCCTCAAGATGTCTTCAAATGTGATCTGGCGTCAACAAAACACAAAGAGAAAATAAAAATGGGAATGTAGGTTCTGCCAAAATGGGTAAAATCAGAAATGACCAATGTTTTCTTGGGACTTAGCTTGTGACTAGCTTGTGTCCACAGCAATTTGACTAGCAGTGACTAAAACTCGTTGTGACACATCAGCAGTGTTTTTATTTAGCGTCTCGAATGAAACTGATGAATGCTTTTTGCTTGTTACCTCAGCAACTTGTTATAGCTTGTGACTACAGCGATTTGACTATACCAGTGACTACGAAAGCTTGTGACTTTAGTTGTGTGTTATTTAGATTTTTTGAATAGAATGATATAATTTAGCTTATAGAATTATACATTGTTAGCTTACGGTATACGTAAAATTCTACAATCTGCGACGTGTGTTTTAAAACGTTAATACGACAAAACACATCAGTAATGCGGTCATTTTCATATATTGGTTTCAAGTTCTGTCCCGTCTAAAAAAAGTTCACGCGTAGTATTCAAGTAAAAAATGAAACAAGACTGCTCGTATCAGGGCCAAGCCCTGAATGTTCCGACTGTCTTCCCGAGTTGACCAAAATGCTTATCATACAATTCTCATAAATGGGAATTTTCTTTTCATGCAATTCCATACAATTCCATACGTACAGGAAATTGTATAAAATCTCTATAATAAACATTTTCCCATAAATGGAAATTGTATGATAGGGGTTTTCTCCATAAGCCAAAAAATTGATTTTTAATGCTACATTTATTTTCTGACAAATTTTATTGTTGTCTTTGCAGCCGAGCACAAGTGACAAAGACCTTGGTTACTCAAAGCTTCAAAGAAAGGCTAGACGGTCTTGCATTTACAATGCACGAAAGCGACCTGAAAGGTCTTCGAGCTGCTTTTCACAAATTATATAACAAAAGTGTAACAAACTTTTAATTTTTGCAAATTTGTTCAATGATGATTATTTTAAATTTTTGAGTTTTCAAATTCTCAGACATTGATCAAGGCATACAAAAACAGGTTCTACAAATGAAATAGGAATTTTCAGTGTTTTTGAAAAAAAATTAAGTGAAAAGAAAAAAAGCCATTATTATCGTATCAAGGACTACGTTATGTAGGCAAATTTTTTTTTGGAAAATATTTGTTTGCGTACGAATTAGATTTGCTGTTGAAAAAAAAATTTGAGGTAAGTTTTCAAAAATACTACTGAAATATTTTTGTGTCGCATATGGAAATTGTATGGTAAGCATTTTTTTCAAAGAAATTTCAAATCAGTTTTTTTGCCACCAATCTGTCCAACTGTTCTCAAAAAGCCGCAGAAATAGTTTTACTTTTTCTATTGTTTTTCGAAAATGTTTGAAAATTGTATGACAAGCATTTTCTCCATACACTTGATGTATGTAATTGTATGATAATGATTTTTGTTGTATGGAATTGTATGATAAGCAGTTTCGGTGCATGGGGGTCAACCCGGGTTTTAAGGTTAAAGGAGAAGTAACAAGACTGCTCGTATCAAGACGAGGCCTTGAATGTTCCGACTGCCTAATAAGGTTTATGGAGCAGTAATCACATTAAAAAAATTAACTGTAAAAAAAATAAAATGAATGTTTTTTTTCTAAAGTTTGAAGTTTTTTATGAAAGTCATCCCACCACACGCCATATAAAGTACAAAAAGATATATTTCGCTCCTTGTAACAAATCAAATATGTTAAATAGGTTCTTTTAACCAATTTGGAACGATTTCTAAGACGGATTAAACCTCCCCTTACGCGTTAAGAGCGCAAAATATATAGCTCGTTAATTGTCCCAAATTGGTCAAAATGGCAATCTTTAAACCCCCATAGTTTTACAAAAAATAATCACAGATAAAATATCCTTTCGAATTCAAGCTCAGGACAACAATACTTTTCGAGTGATAAGAAAAGTTTTGTCGAAAATGGCTAGCTAAAAAGTCGAAATTTGACTGAAGAAAAAAAATCCACCCCGAGCACTAATATTTCGTTACTTTCCTATCGAAAGTCGGAACAATAATAAAATGCGTTATTGCCGCATTTCTCTCAATGCTCAAAATCTCGTTCGAGACAACAAAGTTTTGATTGCAGATTGGCATTTGACACAATCTCAGAACCGATTTATTTCTTGTCCAGAATGTATCTACTGATAATACAGTTCGATGATTTTTTACCAGTATGAGCACCGAAGTGTGTTGCTATCATTTTTTGACAATTGTTTGTACGGGATGAAAAATTGATCTTTGAGAAGAGGCTTTTTGGTTGGAAGTAAAACGTTTCAAAGAACTGCTGGAAACAATTCACAAACGCTGTAAAATCTACAAGAAATTTTTTATATATTAAGCGTTTTTTGTGTCTAATCAAATGTTCTATTAACCTATGTAGGCATGTACAGTTAATGTACAATTGCTTAAAAGAATAAAACAAGTAAAATAAAGTGTGAAATTAAAACGTTCTAAGCTAAAACTAGATCCAACCCACAATAATCGTCCGATGGTCGAATCATGCAAAGTTAACAGGTATTCAAGTTAACAGACATAAAACAAATCACAACATTTCCCACCCGGAAAAAGTTTAAAGTTTCAAATTAACTGAAACTGCTTTTATATACACCCATTTCCCCCTTCAAAGTAGGAACAAAATTTTATAAACTGCGCCAAACAATAGTACAGCAAGCAAAACGGAAGGAAATTTAAAAAGGGTGACAATACAGAATTTACCGTTATACAATAATAAAAAACTAAATGAAGTTTCACTAATCTACGAGATGTACAATTAACATGTAAAAATTATCTACATTAAAGAAGATCAGTTAAAATTTGTAACTGTAAAAGTGAAAACAACTGAGAAAAGAATTGAAAAAAAGTTGACAGTTTTTAATTAAATCTTGCATCGAAATCCTCTTGTCTGTATTTCAAATTCAATTGTAGAGGATATATCACTGGTTCATTCTATATTGTCAGTTATGTCGTATGTTGTAGATCGGGGTGAAGAGGAGGATCCGAAGGATGTATTTTTCAAGATTGTCTGAATCGGGATGTGTCTTGCTCGTCCCGATGTGACAGATTTCTCTGACGACCAGGATAAGGTAGTTTCTGCCACGAGAGTGGTTTTTAGAGGTACCTCCTTGAGTGGTGTAAGGAGGTCTGCTGGTGAAGTGACGATGAAAATAGCCCTCGGTGAGTTAAGAGTGTCGTCTTGTAGCGTAAAAACTTCAGTGGTCGAGTCTTCCTTTTCTAGAACGATGTCGATGTATCTTCGTTCTCCGTAGAATTTCGGGAAACCCCGTTTCTGCGAGGTCTAGACGTCCTCGGTTGTTGTTCCACTGGGAAAATTCTTCTGGGGGTACAGTCCGACAGAATTGGGTTCGATTCAGAACCCTCTATTGTCGCTGCGTCTGGCTCGTTTACGACTGCAGGGTGTTTTGTCGATCCAGTGAGGTTAGGCCTTGTTGATTGAGTCTGGTCGTCACCTGTAAAACCTTATCTTTTGTTAGATCGCGAGTCGGATTGTTGGCTGAGCGGCACAATTTTATTTGTCGTATCGTCAAAATCTTAAAAAACCATTATTTGATACATATTGATGAAAACTGAGTAAACCAGATTTCCAAAACTAAGATTTTACTACAGAATTGTTTTTCCCCAAGTAAAATTTTTCAAACTATTGTATGAAGTCTTATCATTATTTCAATTAATTGTGAAAGTTATTTCAATAGCAATTGCTCATACTTTCGTTTTTTTCAATTTAAGATCTGTTAATCCATAATGGAAAAGATGGTAGTTTTGGTATTTTAGCAAACTTTTACAAAACCACAAACCTTTTGAATAAAAAACGAAAGAACTTTTTTTAGAATTCTTCTAGTTTAGAAATACATTTTCAAAAGCAGAGCCGGACTATAGACCACTTCACTAAAGTCGTTACTTTTCTAATTTTTACACCTATACTGCATATCATTGAAAAATTATTTCAGATTTATGGTAGAGCTCAGGAATGATTGTGTGGTTGAGTTATGTGCAAAGTAACTGAGGACTCATTTTAATAAAGCTGACTGGAAAAGAATTTTTGGTTAAGAATTTGAAAAAAAAAGATAAAAAAACGTTAAAAAACAATTATTTGATACAAAATTGATGAAAACTGAGTAGACTAGATTTCCACCAAAACTAAGAAATTACTACAGAATTGTTTTTCCCCAAGTAACACTCTTCAAACTATTGTATGAAGTCTTATCATTATTTCAAGTAATTGTGAAAATTATTTCAAGAGCAATTGCTTATAGTTTCGCTTTTTTTTCAATTTCAGGTCTGTTAATCAATAATGGAAAAGATGGTAGTTTTGGTATTTTAGCAAACTTTTACAAAACCACAAACCTTTTGAATAAAAAACAAAAGCACTTTTTTTAGAATTCTTCTAGTTTAGAAACACCTTTTCAAAAGCAGAGCCGGACTATAGACCACTTCACTAAAGTCGTTACTTTTCTAATTTTTACACCTATACTGCATATCATTGAAAAATTATTTCAGATCTATGGTAGGTCTCACGAATCATTGTGTCGTTGAGTTATTGAGTTATGTGCAAAGTAACTGAGGATTCATTTTAGTAAAGCTAACTGGAATAGAATTTTTGGTTAAGAGTTTGAAAAAAAAAGATTAAAAAATCTTAAAAAACAATTATTTGATAATAAAAATTGATGAAAACTGAGTAGACTAGATTTCCAAAACTAAGATTTTACTACAGAATTGGTTTTCCCCAAGAAAAATTTTTTAAACTATTTTATGAAGTCTTATCATTATTTCAAGTAATTGTGAAAGTTATTTCAATAACAATTGCTTATAGTTTCGTTTTTTTTTTTACAATTTAAGATCTGTTAATCAATAATGGAAAAGATGGTAGTTTTGGTATTTTAGCAAACTTTTACAAAACCACAAACCTTTTGAATAAAAAACATCAGGTTAAAACTCTTTGAAATTGAACAACTGCTTACGATTGGCATTTTTTTTGTTCAAACCAGCCAATATAGGAATACTGGATCAATGCTAAAACTTCTATTTCGCTGCGTAATCTAAAAATAAAAACCGATCACATTTTTTCGCCTTTTCCGTTTTTTTAACTGAGTAGCCAAAATTGGCTTTTTTAGCAACTGAATTTGAATTGAACTGAAGAACAGCATAAATAATTCAAAGGAAATACTAATTGCAAGACAGTTTATGATGCATCCCTCTAGTTATTGGATAAATTTAGGAGTTTTGCTTGAAAAAAGTCATCAAGACTTGTGTAAGTGAAAATTAGCTTGTTTCCTTACA